AATCTGGGCATTTCTTCATTAATATTCCTATTTCTCCAAATCAAAAGTAATGAAACATCAATTAGGGAAGAATAGCAACCCTGAAGGATGAGTGAATTTTAAAGTTTAATTAATTTTATGATCAGATTAAAACCTCATCAAGGAATCAAACCTCTTCATGTCTAGTAATATTTTCTTTATGGAAATTTTTCTAATCCATATTTTTTTTCCAGCCAGATTCTTAGGAAAGGCTCATAACCATGCTATTCCCTACACTCTCTATTTCAGTCCTGCCTGCCTCATGACATGTGTCTGTCTTCTAGACACACAGCTTGTTACTCAGACTGTGCTCTGTGGACCAGCTGCTTCTGCACAGCCTGAGAGCTCGGCAGAAATGCATAATCTTGGGCAGGATGAAGCAGGGGTGGGGAGATGAGAGTATGGGACTTGAGCTCCAGAAAGAGCTACTCCGCTACCTACAAGAAACTTTTTCAAATACAGGTATCTTCATAAAACCATCCTTTTTTTGTCCTCTAGGTAAACTGACTACCAAAAATTAACTAAAATTATAACCGATTCCTGTGTTTCAATTCCTTTTGGTGACTGGAAACAGTTAAAAATGGCGACTGTGGTATGTGCCTGGCAGCAAAACTTAGTTGTAAAAGAGATTATGGAAACAGAACCAAGAATGGTGTGTTCTCTCTTTTTCCTTCTCTACCCACAAGGGTGCCTCAACAGTGCCAGCTGTTGAGTATAAATGTAGTGGAGGCAACTCCAAGAACAAGGAAATCAGGAAAGCTTGATTGTCCTCTGGGTTAAGCTATGAAATCAAGACATCAGAGTGGAGAGATGCAAAATACCCTTAAAGAGACCAAATAGCTCCCAGGCCTCTGAGACTAGACAGTATGCTTATTAAATATATTAACATATCTAAAGGAAAAATGTCTCAGTCTCCAGGAGCAACTGGTCAGCCAAGAAGTCTTAGAGGGGCCAGCTGAGTGGTGCGTTGTTTAAGAGTTGGCTTGGGACGCCAGCTCTGAGCAGCAGGGCCCCAGTTTGGATCCCACATTTGGGCCAGTGATGCTGCGCCCTCTACAGCTAAGATGGTGAACAACAGCTCAACCTGGAGCTGGGCTGCTGGGAGTCGTGGGTGACGGCATAGGCTGCAGTGGGGCTGGCCGGCAGCTGGCGTGCACTTTTGTGAGCTGCCGTGAAAGGTTGTCTAGTGGCCGGCGAGTGACTGCCTCACCCAGGAAAAGCGCAACGATAATACCAACATGGGCCAGTGAAGCAATGTCCTCCACAACTAGACTGAAGAACAAAAGCACAGCAACTTGTCTGTTCCCCTTTCCTGATTCCCCAATGTTGTATCCCTCCCCCAATTCCCCAATAAAAAAAAAATCTTAAAAAAAAGAAGTCTTAAAAAAGGGAGAGTTTTAGAGGCAAATGCTAGAGGTGTCCATCTAAGCAAGAAGGAGGACACCTTGCTACTTATCTAGTGTAAGATAAAGGAAAAGTTATTTTCACCAGTATAATTTTCAGGTATGATGGTACTAGAGGAAATGCCCAATTTTCTGAGATGGGCTGCACTATCGAATGACATGACAGATTTTGGGCTCTGCAAGGCTGGGGCCACGAGGTACTGAAACTCTCTCTGTAACTGAACTTGCTTGGATCCTCGCTTCCCACACCAGCTTGTCAGTAAAACCTAGCTTTCCATGTGCCAGGCCTTCAAGGAGAGAAGGGATGGTCAGAAGACGGCCCAAGCACCTCTTCAGACTCGATGACACTTAATGAATCAGCATTGTGGTTTTATATATAATTCCTATGACCATGTTTGATAGAAATGAATCCTGGAAAATAAAACTGCTCTCCCAGTATACTGACAATTGTGCTTATAAGTTTGGACACTGGCAAGGGCACCAAGATAATGTCACCCCAAGGCCTCAGGGAAGTGGCCAGTCCAGCCAGCCAGGCCTCCCCACTCTCCACAGATATCAATTCATGATTATTCTCTAAGATGTTTGATTATAAACATGTAATATTTTCTTATTCAGTATCATTAATCAAAGACATGTAAACTAAGAAAAAATTAGCAGAGAAAAAATTGGCACAGGGTATAAACAAAAAGATATTCTCATACGCTGCTGATGGGAGTAATAAATTAGAAACGCACCAAACATCTTAGAAATACGTACATACCTCTGACCCAGCTATATTACTTCCAGGAATTTATTTTATCCTTACCTATTAATTGAAGATATGAACAAAGATTTAACCACAATAATGTCTTCTAGAGCAGTCAGTTCATAATAGGTAAAACTCGGAAATCACATAAATATTCAACAGTTTGAAACTGGTTAAATCAACATCTATAGTGCAATAACACTGACACTTGCAATATGTTATAGAAGTACATTTACTGACCAGAAGAGACATTCACAATGCATTTTCATTTTCTTCTTGTTGTTTAGTTACACTTTCTAATTCTTTTTTCAATAAACAGTTATTATCATATATAGCCCTGGTTCTGAATTAAAGTTGAAGACTCGCCACCATCTACCTAAATAATAGAATCCAGGGGTTAAAAGGAAGAGGGCACATATACTGGTCCAAGTCGTGTGTGTGTGTGTGTGTGAGAGAGAGCTGTGCCACTGAGTTGGCTCCAACTCTTCGTGACCCTATGAATGAGTGATGCCCATGTCCTATTTTCAACAGCCCTGCTCAGCTCCTGTAGATCCATGCCTCTGGCTTCTTCTGTAGAGTCAACCCATCTCATATTTGGTTTTCCTCTTTTCCTGCTGCCTTTTCAAAGAAGCCTCAAAAAGATATTAATGGCATATCCAAGGTCACCCACCTGAGGGGTGGCACAGTCAGTGCTATCACCCAGCTCTGCAGATTCCTAAGCCCAGATGGGTCCCATCATTCCTAGCGCCTTCAAATTAGAGCAGAACCTGTCTCTCTCTATGCTACTCAACACCAGTGTCTCAGCCCAGAAAGCAAAGGTGCCCCTCAAGCTGTGGTTGAGCCCAAATATTTCAATAAAATAGTTTTTAATGATCTGTCTTCTATTGGGTTGTCAGAAAAGCCATGATGCATGTTTGCAACAGATGGCACTAGTTCACTTTTGGAAGTGCTAGAGTCACTTGCATCTATGTTATTGCTATGTCGTTTGACAGCTGACAGTTCTAGCTTCATTCTAAAAAAAAAAAATGAGTGACTTGGTTGAGTTTTGGAGATTTCAAAACAAGTTGAAGATGAAACACCAAACTATGCATTTTTGCCATATTTTATTATTTTACTTCCATAAAGGAAAGAACGTGCATTAAGTTTCTGAAAAGTTGCATAAAGTTTATGGTGACAATGCTCTACAAGAACATCAGGCCAATGATGGTTCACAAAATTCCGTGCTGGTGATTTTGATCTCAACAACGCTCCTTGGTCAGGTAGGCCCACCGAGGTTGATGACGAAAAACTAAAGGCATTGATCAAGTCAAACCCACATTACACGACACGAGAGATTGCAGAAACATTGAACATCCATCATTCAAGTGTTCACGACCACCTGAAGAAGCTGGGATACGTAAGCAAGCTCGATATTTGGGTTCCACATGAACTCAAAGAAGTTCATTTGACGGCACATATAAACATCTGCAATATGCTCATTAAACGTTAGGAAAATGATCCTTTTTTTCAAGCGTCTGATAACTGGTGATGAGAAGTGGATTGTTTACAACAATGTGGTGCACAAACTGTCTTGGTTCCGACGTGATGATTCGCCTCAAATGACATCAAAAGCATACATTCATCAGAGGAAGGTTATGCTCTCAGTGTGGTAGGATTTTAAAGGTGTCATGTTTTTCGAGCTCCTACTAAGGAACCAATCAATTTGAATGTGTACTGTTGGCAGTTGGACAGTTTGAATGAATCCATCATCCAGAAACGTCCAGAGCTTCTTAATTGTAAAGGAGTTGTGTTCCATCATGACAACGTGAGATCACACACAAGTTTGATCACCCATCAAAAAATTTTGGAGCTGGATGGGATGTGTTGCCACACCCACCATACTCGCCTGACCTTGTGCCGTCAGACTTCCACTTGTTTCGCTCTCTTCAAAACTCCTTGCATGGTATAATGTTCAATTCAGATGAGGCTGTAAATCAGTACTTTGTTCAGTTTTTTGCAAAGAAAGACAGGTTCTTCTATGAACAAGGAATTATGAAACTCACTGAAAGATGGCGAAAGGTTATTGAACAAAACGGGCAATATATCATTGATTGATCTTTGTTCTTTATATAAATAAATGACCTTTGAAAAGCATAGACAAAATATGTCATGACTTTTCTGACAACCCAATACATGGCCTATACACAATGGTAAGAAACCCCAACTGCAAACTGCATCCCACATGATAATCTAGGATTTTCTGAAGCGTATCATAAAATATCAAATTTCTCTCAAGACATCTCACAGTGAATTGGTGAGATGGGGAGGGGAAGGGAGAGAGAAACTGACCATGGAAAAAAAAGGTCTACTTTGTGACCCAGACTTATAGTCATTTCTTATTGTGAAACAGCTCCTCCTCTTTTAATAAGCCTCATCATTCTGTGCACCAGAAAAGAACTTGTTGGTCTCTCTCAACTTGACTCAGGACTCTGGTCAGCTGCTGTGGGACAGTTATATCTCTGTTGTCTTCTGTGGCCTAAATCTAATGACTCCTTGACCAACTTCCAAAGAGACATTTATTGAAGAAGTGTAATTAACATTGCTGCATGTGGCCTTGCATCATCTTCCTATAACACCTGTTTTCCTTCAAGTGACATTCATTTGGAAATTTTTGATAGAACAGAGGGACAGAGTTAATGCTTCCCCCTTACCCAGACCAAGAAAGTAGCCAAGAGTGAAAGGGACTGATCCAAGGTGCCCCATCTCCCCAGGCCTCCATTTCGGCTGCCATTAATAGACGCAAACCAGCACCAGGAAAAATAAGTGAACCTTAAAAGGATGAAGGTCTTACTTACGGACACACATTTCCCTGCTTTCATAAAATCCGGGACAACACTGGGATTTGCGTCTATACATAGTTTTTTCCCCATGTCGATAGGCTGTCCGATAACTGACTCTATATAGAGGGGGAAAGCACATTGTTACTTCTTTTGACCTGCAATTTGATTAGAAATAAAGAATTTACATTTCATATGAAGGAGCTATTAAATATAATAAAGCTATAAAAAGCAAAGCACTCCAAAATAATTAAGAAGGAACATGGAAAATATGTCTTGACCAATATTATGCTAACTCTTATCAATTTGCTAAGAATATATTAAGATTGCCCATTTAAGCCAACTTATACTTTATTTCAAAGGATCAGAAGTTTCATGACTTCCTTATTTCACTTATCTTGAAATATCTTGAAAAGTATTGATTAATTTCAGATATGACACTTATCTAATCATCATTCCCTTACATATATTTTAAAATAAGAATTCAGAGAATTCCTTTAAAAGTCTGTGACAGTGCAATCTCATCCCACTACAAAAAAAGCTGATAAACAAGACCCTTCCATTTAACCAGTGTCATTCATTCACTCATTTGTTTATGTAACACGTGTTTAATGAGCACTTACTATATTCCAGGCACTGTTCTATGTACTGGAGAAATAGCTAACAGTCAGGAAAAGAATATAAAGTCTTGCCCTCAAGGAAATTACATTTTACTGGGCAAGACAGATCTGTAGAATTTAAGTAAAGATATGTATTAAACAAATAAATATATCGTATAATGACTGGTAATGGTTAAATGGTGTGAAAAAAAATAATAAAGCCAACTAAAGCAATAGAGTGTGAGAGAAAAGGAATGCTTGTTTAGATAGAGTGGTCAAGGAAAGCTTATCTGAAGAAATAACATTGAGCATAACATCATTCAGTGCAGCATAAATCAGCAGGGGCCATACTAGACCCAATACTTATATCAAGTATTTTATAAATGAAATTAAGGTATCACAGTTTCCTTTCATGTTAACATTAATATTTAATATATTTTGTTTTCTGTTTTCACACTTACAGAAAAAGTACATGGTATATATTACTTAAGTTGAGGTCAAACTTAAGTTAGCCTACATTGAGTCAGTTGTTCAAGTATTAGAAACATATGCTGGGAGATGTTTCTCACTATCTGGTGATGTCTGTATTTATAAGTGTATCCCCTTATTATGCACAACGTAAAAGCTGGGTGAATTCTTGCTAACCAAAGCATGGTAACCAGTAGACAGTTGCTCTGTAAGCTCCTCAAGGGCATGGACGACCTTTTTGCTTTTCTTTGTCTCCTGTGATTTGGAACCAGCCTAGGAAAATACCAAGCACTCGGTACCTACTCCCTAGAAGAATGGATGCACCTGCTGAGGTATTTAATATCTCTGTTATCAAACTCCTTTCCAGTGAGCCAAACTCATAAATATAGCTGAGCTTTCATTACCTGTGCCGTGTACATTTAAACCAGTTCAGGATGTCAGTGCAGCTAGTGTAGTAAATTTGATCAAAGGGATGTGGGTATGACTCTTGCACGGTTACTGAGTAGCTGAAAAAAAAAAGGAAAGATAAGGAATCAGTATTTCACTTTCATTAATGATATACTGTGTACAAAAAAAAACACAAAAAAAAACAATCATAGGCTCATTTCTCTCCATTTGCAACTCCACAGTGACTCAACAGATAATCTCCATGCTTTTATAGGTTTTTATTTGAACCAGAACCCCAAAAGGACCAACATTAATAATATATTTTTTAAAACCAAGAGTTCACACTATAAACTTCAAAAACATTCTTTTTCACTATCCACCATAAACGCTGCTATTCCTAAATTTAAAAACATATCACCATATATTTTTCTGTATTTGATTCCAACCACTCACCCCAGGGGTCCAGTGGTTGTAACCAAAACGTTTCACAAAAAAGTTTTCAATCTAAGTCTGCACGCAGATAATAAGGGTAATCTGCAAAGAGACAATTTGAGTATAACAGAGTTCATTTGGCTACTGATGCTGGAAGATCAGAAATAGCATATTTCTCAGGCTGCAACTTGGAATAATTTGCTTTTGTGTGTCCGTTCTGCTTCTCAGGCAGGGGAAGAATACCTACAACCTCTAAATAAAAACTACAAAGTCTTTAAACCCAGTTCTAAGCATATGGCTGAGACAATTAGCCGGAAGTAATCATACCAAACATGTTGCTACTTAAACAGCCTGTTTCCCAATACATTCTTATTAACAGCTTCTTATTAAAGTAAAAGCATGCCTGCCTTTGGGCCTAAAAGTGTGGGTGAAAAACATCCATGAAATATAAAGAACATTAAATGTTCAGTCCCATACTTCTTCATTTTAAAGCAGTTTATCACATGCTCAAGAGCTCTGATTTCCTACCTCCAGGAAAATCTGGAGAATTCTCTTCCAGTTTATTTTGTTTTCTTTTAAACTCTTAAAGATTTCCGTTAACACTTTAATTCACACTAAGAAACAAAATGGGCTACAATCACAGACTCACTTGCTGCAAATCAATAGCCCAAGTTCATGAAAAGGAACAGTCAAGTAACCAGAGAAGGTAGGGGGGAAATGGGGTTGAAATTCCAGCATGAAGAATTCCGGTTGGGTGGAAGGCAGCACATTCTCAAGTGAAAAGCTATGTGGTGTTGGCCTCACAACCAGTGGGCTTTCTTTCCCCATCCGGTCTGTTAGGCACCACAGACTTCAGCTTCAATAGGACTTCTGTATTTATTCTTTGGGACGTGGCGACTTGATTTCTAGGTAAACTTAGGGGTCCTCCACAAATCTTTGGCAGATGCAATAGGCTCCATTGAAAAGATCACTGGATTAGAAGAAGTCAGGGTTATAATCCTGATCTGACACTGAGAAACTGGGTGACCTTCCGCAGATAACCTCACTTCCCCGGGTTTTGATTATAACATCTTAAAACCAGGGAGTCAGAGACAGCCTTGAAGATCCACTCCCACATGGCATCCTGAATTTCTAACATACACTGTAGATGACTATTTCCTTGTATTCCAACAGATGACACCTGCTGCTACCTGCAAGAACTGCTTCAGATGAGCACAGGGTATGCAGTTGCCTGCACTTGTAACATAACTCCTTTTGGGACGCCTCCATCAAAACATAAATGTTTTGGGAATGAAATATCGTATTAAGCTGTCAATATTTTCTTCAGACCTAACAGTGTCCTGAGGTTCAGGTGTTTGAAAACTCTAAAACTTCCTCGCCAGCATTTTTTCCCTTCCTACCCAGCTGCTTGTAAACAACTGGATTTTGAGGACTGCAGAATTACTTCTCCATTCCACTTCAAGTGAAGAGCAAAGAGAACGAATGTCCTCTGTATATGAAACTGCTAGACAGGCACGGTCCTACATTACCCGTGAGTATAATAGAGCAAGATGCTTTTTTTAAATTTATTTTTGTTTTTCAATTACAGTTGGCATTCAATATTATGTTAATTTCAGGTGTGCAACATAGTGATTAGATGTTTATTTAACCCATAAGTTTAGTACCCACCTGGCACCATACATAGTTATTACAATATTATTGACTATATTTCCTATGCTATACTTTACATCCCCATGACTATTTTGTAACTACCAATTTGTGCATCTTAATCCCTTCACCTTTTCCACCCAGCCCCCTTAACCTCCCTCCCAACTGGCAACCCTCAAAATGTTCTCTGTATCTATGACTTTGTTTCTGTTTTGTTAGTTCATTTATTTTGCTTTATAGATTCCACATATAAGTGAAGTCATATGGTATTTGTCTTTCTCAGTATGACTTATTTCACTTAGCATAATATCCTCTAGGTCCATCCATGTTGTTATAAATGGTAAGATTTCATTCTTTTTATGGCTGAATAATATTCCATTCTATATATGTACCACATCTTCTTTATACAATCATCTAAAATAGAGCCACTTCCCACACGTTCTATAGGAATAAAAAAGAAGCCATTCTAAATTAATGCCAGTTGGAGGGGAAAAAAAAAATCTACAGTATGAAATTTAGCTTAACTGAATTAGTTTGTTGGAACAGGACCTGATGCAGTATTTCCATACAGTTTCAAAGGTCATGTTATGTTGTTAAGGTCTGAATGCCTTCGAGCAAAAGTGATCATCAACACTTGGATCCTGGCCAAACATGTCCCATTTGATGTGGATAGGGGAACTTACTCTACAAGCATATGTGAAAAATATTTTCACTAATTTCTAGCAGCCTAAAAGATGGCTCACATAAGAGGAAATGTTAAAGTCCAGGAAATTCCTCTTGCCACTTGCTGCTCACCAACTGCATACAATTGTAGGCAGCTTCTCTGATTTTAAGATATAAAGAAAGCTCTCTTCTATAAAAGGGTAATCAAACCATTTAGGATTCCAATTCAACAAACATTTATTGAACTCCTATGCAATTTGTGCTCTCAAGAGAAGCCAGCATGTAAATACTAAAAATAATGTGATATGGCTTTCATAGATACAGGGGTGCCAAAAAAATGTACACATTTTAAGAGGTGTTATCTATGTATTACTTTTCGAAGTTGAGTTGAATTACGTGAGCAATATGTAATATGACGTTCTTTCAAAAGATGGCATTAATCAAATGAATGCTAGCGCCATTCATTGCATTACAATTTTAATACAGTTTTTTCCTTTCTTAAAATATGTATACATTTTTTTTGGCACCCCGTGTGTGTGTGTGTGTGTGTGTGTGTGTGTGTGTGTGTGTTTGAGGAAATACAGGAGTATAAAATTCATTGTTTTGAGCATTTATCTTCAGTCTTGACTGCATTAAAATTATTCAGAGGCTCTAACTCAATTCAGAACTGACTGAATATAAATTACTTTCACATTGGTCAGAAACAAGCTTCTACTTAAGTTTACAAGAGACGGGTTTTAAACTTTTTTCAACCCAAATTTATTTTCCCTTGTGTTCTTTTTTTTATACATTCTTTTCCTTTTCTATTTTCTATACAGCCTTCTTTTTATCATTTTTAATGGTAGTATAGTCGCACTACAAAACTTGAAAAATAAATTTTAAAAAAGAGATGAAGGAGAGAATTCCATAACTCTCACATCACCACCACTAGCATTTTATTGAACTTGTTTAGAGTCTCTAGGAGTTTATAGTTTTAGTTTAGTTTTTTTCCTTTTTACATTCTTATAATCATGCTATGCACATGATTTTGAAACCTACTTTTTAAATTTAAGAGGACAGATATCATAAGCGTTTTTCCATGTTAGTCAACAGCCTTCAAGTCCTGACTGCCAAATACTCCAAAAGTGACTACACCTAATTTACTCAGTACCCACTTATTAGACAATTAAGCCGTCACTTTCCTAGGAACCACTATCTGGAAGCTGTGTGCTTGCACCACGAAGGGAAATGTCCTCGGTAATTGGCCCGCCCCCTCTGGTCTTTATCACTGCTTCTTTGGCCAGTGCCTGGGCTGCTACTGGGGCTTAAATGCACCTCTGCTAACCATCCACACCTTCATGTTCATCAGCAGCTGCTCTTCAAGTCACAGAGCAGGAAGAAAACTTCTTGATTGTCCATGCGGGGGTCTGCAAACTTTTGAGACGAAAGAGCCGCCAGGGGTCGGCAAACCGGCTCGTGAGCTACATGCGGCTCTGTGGATACGTACATGTGGCTCTGAAGTAAAATTGGAAATGAATATAAAACTATCATAGTTTCATTTATAAAATTTTTAAAGGATATTAGTCACACAATGGTGATTTCATTTGTTTTATAGGTCTCACAAAACTTCAAGGGACAGGATTAGCTCTTCCAGGGGTCGGCAAACTTTTGAGACGGACAGTACATACCCAAAGAGCCGCATGTGGCTAGCGAGCTGCAGTTTGCTGACCCCTGATCTAGTCCAATCCCGTTTTCATCACAAGTGAGCAACACTGAGCTCCCAGTGCGAGTGGCAGTCTAGAGACAGCACTAACAGCACGACCCAAACCCCACCCTGCCCCCCTGTCTCTGAGATGTCACTAGGAGATCTAAAGCTTCTAAAGGAAGCAGTGAGTGGCAAACTGCTTTAAAAGGAATCTGATCTCCATTCTGCACTATTTTAAGCATCAAGATGCAAAAACCCTTTATCTCCTGCTTGTTTGTTTAATCTTCTCAAACACACTGAAAACATACCATCACCGTGATTTTCACCTATTAAGTATTACCCGGGGAGGAACCCCAGCAAGATTTAATTTAAGGTCAAAGAACAAGGAGGGGGTGGGGGAAGCCATCAGCACTTGGACACATTCCAAAGTGGTTAATTACATTTTACCTGCTTAAATTATCTTGTTACTTTAATCAGATATGGTAATAATCATGATTTTGTATCTCTGCTCCCTTCAGGACTGCTGCTTCAATTACTGCCAGCTCTGTGTTCCACCCCCAAGGGTTGGTGGGGTGAAGATTGGCTTCTCTTTATTTGCTCCTTCTTTAGAAGAAACCCCAATAGATGGAAGAGCTTTAACTCACAGAGCAGGGAAAGGGATTGGGGAGAAGGCACGGATGATCTGTGGAATTATTCATTTTCCAAAAGGATGCTGTATATAGAATTCGTTTAATAACAAGCACTGTGTGTTGTAAATGGTTTAATGTTCCTTTAATATCATTTTGTGGAACACTTCTGAGCATCGCAATTGCTGCATTAAAATGAGGCATACTTTTATTTGGTAATAAATCATTCAGTAGGGCTGGGGCAGGGCCTGAGACTCTGTATTTCCAACAAGCTCCCAGGAGATGCTCGCACCCCAGCTCCACAGACCGCACTCTGAGAAGCAAGGCTCCAGGTGGTTCTATGACTCGGAACCATTAGGTACAGGTGGCTTTTAGGGTAAGGAAGGCCTACAATGAGTCCTATTGAGCCCTACGACCAAGAATTTTGTCCTCGGAGCTAATCATCCTCTCCACATTCAAGCCCATTTCAGTTTCTGAAAATACAGAACAACCTGTCACCTGCACCTTTATTTGATCATTTTAATTCATACTCTTTTCTCCATTCTTGTCAAAATAATTCTGCTTTCTTTCGCCTTTTTTCAAAGAATCATCATTTCGCCTTACAGCAGGAAATCTACCAACAAGAAGATTGTAACTGTCAATCCTTCTTTCTAGCAGTTCATGGAAAAAATATAGTCAGGGGAAAAAAATCTCTATAATTTCCCTATTTTTTCATGCCTAATTTCCCTCCCCATTAGTGAGTATTTTAGAGGTTATTCTCATTACTTGTGTAACAGTGGAATCATGTTTAAAAATGAATGTGTCTGTCTCCCACTCCCCCAATATGATGTCCATATTTGTCATTTTATTTCCTATCTGAAGGTGAAAGCTCATTCAACAATTATTTACTGAGCATATGCCATATGCAAGGCAATGCTTTAGACTTAGGACATCATCAAGGGTGAACTAGAATAGAGTTGCTGTCTTGAAAGTCTCTGAGCTTTGTGCATCTTACCAGTGGGTGACAACAGTAATTAGAATGTGTGCTTTCTTAACCATTAGTCACGGTGCTGAAGGTGACAGGAAAAAGACCAAAAGTTTGATATCATTGCACTTACAGCTATTAAAAATACATATTACTCTCTAGTACTTGACATCTTCCATTTGTTTGAAAAACTTGCATTTGCAATATTATTTTGGGATAAACATACCTTCTTAGGAATGCAAGTAGCATGTCAGAGCAGAGTAGACTGCATATAATTGTACTGCACTACCACTAGATGGTCTGTGCTGTTGTTGTATTCCAAAAGGGACGATAAGATCCCTGAGAATGACCTATTGTTTTGTACTTCCTCTGTGTTTCCTACTGCAAATTGCACAGATCTGGACACTACACCATCTGCTCTCAAAGAATCTATTCAAGTTTGTCCTCCTCCAATACTGTACCGACTCTAGTGTTTGTGGACACGGCCTTTAGACGTCTGCATGGCACTGGTTTCAAGCTACCTTCCATTCCTAGAACCCCCTCCTGGTCCCTGCCACCTCTCGTCTTGTTCAGTTCTTCAAAAACATCTCAGGTGACACTACCTCCATGCAGCTTTGCCAGGTCCTCGAGAAATCATGTCTTCCTTTTCAGGCCACCTACAGCACAATTTTTTTTTTTTAAAGATTTTTTATTGGGGAACTGGGGGTATGGGAACAGTGCTGGGGAATTGGGGGAAGGGGAACAGACAAGTTGCTTTCGTTTTGTTCTTCAGTCTAGTTGTGGAGGACGTTGCTTCACTGGCCCAAGTTGGCACCATCATTGCGCTCTTCCCCGGCGAGGCACATCAGTCGCCGGCTTCTGGACGGCCGCTCACGGCGGCTGCTGGCCATTCATGCTGGCTGCTGGCCACTCACGCTGACTGCTGACCACTCACACTGGCTGCTGGCTACACACAGTAGCCAATGGCAACCCACTGCAGCAGGGGCTGCAGCCGACGCCGACACCGGCGACTCACAGCAGCCCAGCTCCAGGCCGAGCTGTTGTTCAGATCTTAGCTGTAGAGAGCAGTGTCACTGGCCCTCATATGTGGGATCCAAACTGGGGTTCTCTGGCGTCCCAAGCCAGTTCTTAACCATCGTGCCACTCGGCCGACCCACAGCACAATTTTTTTAAGCCATACTTTTCAACACTTCAGTACATTATTACGTACTGTCTTCCAATGATCCCTCATTGGTTCCCATGCAGAAGTCCAACTTTCCCAAATTATTGGAAATAGATTCAGAGCAGGGACAAAAAGACCTTAGGAAGCTCGTTTTAATTGAGCAATTAATGTTTGCCTTGAATCATCCAACTGCACCTGTGCAAGAATCAATATTTCAAGTTTTTTTTCCAAGTAATATATATTCTATAAGACCAAGGTGAATAATACTATCCAATTTATTAGTCATAACAAATGACTTTTACATAAAGGTCATTTCACAATCTTTCCTCAAATTCTAATTTTACATATCAGACTGATAAGGATAGTATATACAGGAACTGATCAGAAGTTATTTCTCAGATTACTTTCAGAACTATTACCTTTCCCAGTGGCTACACACATTAGGGTCTTCAAGATTCAGAGGTGATGCTGTCCGGATCCAGTGGCACCACAATAAACAGATAAAGCCCAGGCATGAGTTCAAAGAAATAACCATTTTTTCTGAAATACAACCTACAAGAAAAAAAAATAAAATCCAAATGAAAGATACATTAAAATGACCCAAACAGAATTCCTTTCAGTACAGCAAGCATTCGGTACCAGTTGTCACCAGGCCTGAACCATGCATAGTAAGTCATGTATTCAAATACATGCGTCACCAGATTTCACGGTCCAGGGGATAGAGGTGCTTCTATGGTGTGCAGGGTGTCCACCGTTTTGTAAATTACTAAAATGTGCAAATCATCGCTAATTGCCACCACAACAAAAGCCCTTCTCAACCATGCCAGCTAACATTAAAGGAATCTACCCAAACAACTCAGAGCAGCACAGGCTTCCAGATTCTCTCACCAGGCATATTTCCCTTCTGGAAGCAGAGAGCTCACAGAGGAATTTGGCCTCATTTGTCCTGGAGGGTAAAATATGAAACAGAAGGTCCATTGACTCAAGAGAGAGGCACCTCAGGCTCTCACTGAGACTCATTCAATAATTCGTTTGCTGTGCCCTGAATGCCTGCTCTATCCTAGGCACCATGCAGACACTGGACATAAAGCACAGATATGGTTCCTGTCCCTGCCCGGGAAGATATTTATGGTTTCATAATCATGACGTATATTTCTTATATTCAGTGCTTCAGTTTCCCCAGCTACTGAATAGAAACAAAACCAGCGATCTCACAGAGGTTTCTACATAGGTGTACAGAAAAAAGTGTAAAGCTCTTCGGAGAAAATGAGACCCTGTGTTACTGAGAGGAAGAGAGGCCATAAAAGAAAAAGAAATAGCAACAAGTTTGCAAAACAGGCCAGCAAAGGAGATGGAAGAGGAAGGAGAATGTTCCAGGCAAAGGGAACTGGCGGTAAGGGGGTGTCAGGCACAATTAGGGAGCTCAAATTAAATCAGCTGGAGAAAGAATCAGTGGGGAGCACATCACAATAGGTTTTACAAATCACTGCAAATTATGTGAACTTCATCCAAGGATAAGAGAGGCTAGTGAAGGGTGCAGAGTGACATCAGAAAGATCACCCTGGCTGCAGAGGAGAGTGACCTGAGGAGGGGACTGTAAAAGGGAGGTCAGGTGAGACAGGACTGTGGGTGAACTAAGAAAGCAACATTGGGGTCGCAGGGAACTGAGTGAATCTGGGATATTACTAGGAAGTAAAATCGATGGGGCTTGGTGACTGAATGTGGGAGTAAGCGAGAGGAGGGACTTCTAGTATAGCCCCTTGGGCAGACGGTGTGCCCCTCAAAGAAGTGGGAAGCACAGAAGCCCTCCTCCTCTGGAGGGACGAAGCTTTACTTCACAGTTTATATATCAAGTCTGAGGTTCCTATGAAATATTCAAATGAAGTCCTCTGTGGGCATTCATTGAACACCTACAATGTGCCAGATCAGCTCAAGTGTGTAACAGTTGTGATGGCGTGCATCTGGAAATCGTCCCCACCTCGTCACCTCCAGGAACTCAGCACTTAATAAGAAGAAAAAGTTTGCCATACTATATAAAATGATTTTATATCATCATTATAATAATGGACATGGAATTAGAAATAGCTGATCCATTTACTAATGAAAAAAAATGAGCATTAACTAATTAAAATGAATTAAATAATTGATTAAATTTAACTTGCCTGTTGGTAAGCTAGTGAAGCTTGCAAAAACAGACCAGATTATGTGACCATAGCAGTTATTTCCTGGGTGAGAGGTGGCATTTTGAGACATTATACTAACTTTCCACACCATGAAGTCACCCATTTTTAGTATTTGGGGACCAAATTGATTGAACAATAACCTTGTGATTTAAAAAGGTAAGTTTATCTTAAAACAGACACATAAACAACAATACCAACAAAAACCTAACCTTGGGAAATACTTTATCCTTCAAATTCAAGAGAATACTCGTAGATCAAATGAAGAAATATTAAATTCTTCGAAATCAAGATTGTTTATAAGGACAAGTACATTAAGTATGCTATGGAAAGTTATATCTAACCCCACAGAGGCTAAAACCAAGAAAATGTTTGATTTGGAATAAAGAAAAAATATTCATTTGTAGGATAATTAAAAGATAGTGTAAGCCACCAGAAGAGGTTGCAAAATTTTTAGAGGGGATTTCAATTATCATGAAATACTTCCAACATATAAAACATAAATGGGTAGCCAAAATATGGCTTATAAATTAATTCAAATTATTGATGTTTCTCACAGGCGAACCATCATGAAGTAGTAAAATCTGAAGCTTAACATTATTTGACTAATTAAGCTACTCCACATAACAGGAATGCCTAAAAAGTAACAATGATAATTAACAGCTCACATTTCCTGAATGATTACTGTGTGCCACACACAGGGCTGAGCCTTCCATGTGATTTACCTATTTAATCCCCACAGTAACTTACCTAGGTAGGTATTTTTATTACCCTCATTTCACAGTTGAAAACACTGCTTGTGTTTTCCTCATCCATCAAAGTAAGAAAACCTTTCATATATTTGATTGTAACAAAGAAGCATGGTAAATATTTCTCTGTCTCATTGCTTTATCTATGTCAGGGTAAGTATTTCATTTCAATAAAGTGTGAAACGTGTATAGTAACTTTCATTCTTTCCTCAAAGACAAAACAGGGCTGGTCAGCCGTAATCTGCCATCTACTCACAATTACCCCAAACTGAAAACTTTATATCCTAGTCACCACCTCAGACTTAGACCATCCATTTTCCAGTTAGAAATGTTTAGTCTGTGAAGTTAGCAATTGCGGTAAGCCATGAATCAAATTGCCAAGTAAAAGGATGACTCTGTGTTCTCTTTTAATGTAAAAATTGTCACACTAATCTTTTGGTATCCCTTCGCACTTGATGCATTGCTCTCTGAAGGCTTTAACTTCTCGAAGGTGGAGGCAGGGGGAAAAAAGCAGAATTTGGTCACCTCCTCATTGCTTTTGAAACTTGGCATAAAGAAAAATCAAACTGCATTGCAACGCTGATGGCTGCGTTCATGAAGAGAAAACATTAGTACATTAAAAACATGTATATATACATGTTTCACTTGCTTCTTATTACCAAAGCATTTTCCAGATTAAAATTAGAAAATTGACTGAGTTCTAGAATAATTTATATGAAAGTATAAAATGTCAAAAGCAAAGAGAATTGCTAGATGAAGATGCTGGGATCATGCAAACTGGTAAAAATCAGTTAAGAAAATAATTCAAATGTTATATATATGGTAGAGGGAGAAGATAATTCACAAATATGCCAATGAGCTGTAAAGAACTATAAAAATGAAACATTTCACTATATTCCATCTTGTTTAATAAAGGCACTGATAGGTAATCCAAATAAGTGGATAAGGCATTATGTATACTCTTTCCCTATTTTATTTGTTTTCTTCTATAGGTTTTTTTTTTTTAAGACTTTATTGGGGAATTGGGGGAGGAGAACAGTGTTGGGAATTGGGGAAGGGGACCAGCCAAGTTGTAGTTCTTCAATCTTAGTTGTGGAGGGCGCCAGTCGCCATCTGGCTTCCTGTCAGAAGCTCATGGCCTCTAAGCTCAAGGTGCTGTGTTCAATCTTAGTTGCAGGTGGGAATAGCCCACCACTGAATAGGCAATCTTGTTGTTACACCAGTTGAGCCATACTGCCACCTGCTGGCAGCTCAGCAACAGCTCAGCTCGGGCACAGCATCACTGGCCCATGTGGGAATCAAACCGGTGGCCCTGTTGCTCAGAGTTCATGCTCTTAAGTCAATTCTTAACCAACTGAGCCACTTGGCCGGCTCTCTTCTATAGGTTTTGATGAGTAAATGTGGGTACCTTTGTCCCTTTATGTCAACCCTGAAGGAAGAAAGTTCAATACATTTTTCTTACTCATTTCTCTTTTAAGCTGTGTCATCTTGTCTTAAACTATAATCTTCCACTTTGGAGCACAAATAAGACCAAAATACAATCTTTAAAAAAAAAACACAGCATTTTTCAATTGAGGAAAAATTAGGTAACACAGTGGTGATTTGCTTCATTAAAATAGACATTTTGAAAATATTCAAAACTCGAAATTAGGTGTTAAGCTACTCCACCCACTCAGTCTTCCTCTTCAAATAACTTTCCTTATGGTTCCATTTAATAAATTCAAAATGTAAAAAAAAAAAACAACAGTCATTTGCATGAACCCCCTAGTGCCAAACTTGATTGCATTCCATATCCTTCACTTAATTATTATGGAAAAATCAAAACAGAAAATCAGCACAACTGATTAGCATTGCTAAGGAGCTCCTCTTAGAAAGAGGAAACACAGCAGGCAGAATTAACTCTTGCCACCTACTTCTAGGAAGGAGGCTTTGCTCCTTCCACCACAAAACCCTCAGTAAATAATCGGGTTGAAGAAAATACAATGCATGAGTCTGGGTTCTGATGACAGCGAGCAGTTGCTTTACCAGTGTTAGGGAGAAATAAATAATGGGGCATTCACTTGCTAATTTATTTTTGCTACAACAAAGGGATAAATGATTCCAGATGATTCTTTCTGGTTCTAAAATCGGTGGCCTTCCTAGAATCATGAAGTGCACACATAGAAACAACTTGGGTGCCCTCGCCCCATTTTTTTCTCAAGCTCATTTCCCTAAAATCCTCTCACAGTTTCTAAATGAAAGCTAATTTCTTGATGAAGAATAGCCACATTTCCACAGTTTCCCACCTTCCACCCCCTGGGTACCAACAGCCACCTATTTCACTTGTTATCCATAAAGGATGTACCGTATTTGCCGGCGTATAAGACGACTGGGCGGATAAGACGACCCCCTAACATTTCCACTCAAAATACAGAGTTTGTTATATACTCGCCGTACAAGACTACCCCCTCTTTCGCACACCTTCCACACACCAAATAAAAGGTAAAACAATATCAGATTTGATTTGGCCCACTGAAGTGCAAACAAGCGTATTGTATTTCGTGTCACCACATAACCGTTTTGGCGATGTTGAGCCACCATGTCTGCTACATGTTTTTCGAGTTCTGGCCAGTGTGGGGTGCCT